AAGATTCAAAACAACCTATTCACCTTTGGTAAGCAAAAGGAAACGAGTGAAACTTGAGCAAAGAGCTGGGGAGATTAATTCTTCATGGAAACTTATTTACCGAAATCCGTTCATTTTTCCGATCTCTTTTTTGGTTCGATTCAAAATTTATCACACTTTTCTTTGTATTCTGGTCTCTTCTGCCTGTTGCTATTACTACGTTGAAGGTTCCCTTAGTGAAGCTCAATTAGCTCTTTGTACCGTCTCTCTGTTTATTGTTTTACTCTTGCTATTTGGTTACAGTATTTTGTATCAGCGTCTAGTTGGTCGTATTTATATTTCTAACGATTCTAAAAGACTTCGATTCGCTCATGTCAACTTTTGGGGTAATCGAGAGGATGTAACGTTACCGATAGACAAGGTTATTCCTATTTCTGATACCAACGAAAAACTCAACACCTTTCATATAAAAATAGCTCTAAATGGCTCACCACAAACGTACTACATGAACTTTGGAGCTAAATCCATCATATCTCCCGATGATTTCGCTATGGCCTTCGGACATAATCCTCATCCCGCTTTTTACGATGATATAGCGTTGAGTGAATGGACAGAAGAATTTAAGAAAAGACTAGATGAATCAAAGACCAAGTCAAATAGCGTAGATACAAATTCAAAGTAAAATGTAAATATAACTTTAAAAAATGTAGAAAATCAAACATAACAATTAACAAATTGAAACTTGTCAGTTCGTGATTACTTTTCAATGTTATTTAATCTGTTATTCTTGATTTGTCACGTTGTTTTCAATTCAACTGTACCGACAATGTACAATTAGATCTTTAAATTAAGATACTTAGCCCACTCTAAACAAATCTCCCTGTCATCATCTTGATCAACTTTGTTAAAAGTTTCGTTATTTTGTATCCTCCATCTTGGAAGTGATATTTGATCAGGTTGACTTCCGGTGACCTTAATTGGTGACCAGAATAACTCTTTTCCCTTAACAAAATCAGCCAAAATGTTCATCATGTATTGACTTAATTTCTGATCATTTTCATCCGAATACATTTCTGGTGACCTGAAAGGTTCACCAAGAAACATCCTGTGATCATCGGCATGAGCTGCACCATAAGGTCTTGCGGCTTTGGTAAAATATGAGGTCACATAATCGTTACGATAAAAGTGAACAGTATTCGCACCATTGGTTGCAAATGCAAGTGAATACAAGAGAGATGGACAATGGAACATAAAATCGGATATAAAATCGTTGCACTTCCTACGAATCGTCGAGATGTCAGAATCGTTAACACCTTTGAAATATTCAGACGCAAGATCGGTAATGTTCAATGTCATTGTGAGATTGGCGGTTTTCAATAGTCCCGATAGACCGTCGATTGCTTCAGCGATGCTATTTGGTTTAAGTTTAACCAATGCCTCGTCGGCTTCCGTTCCAACCAGAATTTTGTAGCCGCTGGGAAAACTTTTCGAATTGATTATTTGACTTGGTGATGTTGGAAAAACATATTGATCACCATGTACGAGATTGAAATCAGAATTTTCAATTGTATCAGCGATCAACTTTGACTTGACCGTTTTCAAGCAAATCGTTTCTCTTATATCAAAGGATGAATTTTTTTTCGAGTATTTTGAACATTTCAATGATCGGGACATACTTTTTGTTAACGTTTTCATTGCAACTGAATCTTTGGTGTTGGTTTGCTCTGCTGGAACTCCGCTCATTAAGACAAGTTTATTAAACAACTTGGAATCTAATGCTGGGGACATGAAGATTGCCGATGATATGATCGCTCCCGAACTCATTCCGGCCAAAGTTACCTGATCGGGATCACCGCCGAATGCTTTGATATTTGATTTTATCCATTTCAAGGCCAATAAAACATCGTGAATTGCTTGATTACCAACAATAGAATCTGAACCTCCGTAAGCAAATCCAGTAGCTCCAAGTCGATGATTCAAATTAACTGTAACAATATTCGTGTGAGCGGTCAAAACATCACCTCTTGACCTTGATCCTGATGCCGAACCAAAGATAAACGCTGCACCATGGATGTAAACAAAGACGGGATACAGAACATCATTTGAAGGCGAAGCGTCAATCGGAGTCCAGACATTTAGAAATAAACAATTCTCACTAATTGTTGAATTGGGTGCATGAATTGCTCCATTTAATTCAGTTTGAAGACAAGCGGGTCCAAACTTATTCGCGTGATAAACACCAAAATGATTCCGATGAAGGCCAACGGGTTTCGCGAATCGAAGTGGACCAACGGGCGGAAGTCCATAGGGAATTCCAAGGTAGGATTTTATCTCAATTCCATTGAAAACTTGATTAAAACCCTTGATTAGACCCCAATTAGTTTTCACAATTAGGTTGTTCGATTCGGATGAACCTAAATTGAAAAATAGAAAGAGACAAACAATTAACTTGTATTGATTATTCATCGTTTACTTATTCCTTGTTACAATTAAACTAAACCAGTGGATGGGAGTCAATTGTTATTGAGCATTAATTGATCGGGTAGATCACAATTAATATGATTAGATAATGTTAACAATCAAACTATCACTTTGTTATGATCTCGGAAAGGAAATTGATTGCGAATGGAACAATTTAATGTTAGGTTTTAATTGTTTTAACTTGTGATTATTTTCAGGTTTATCTTAATGAACCGAAGTGCAGTAGAAAATTATAACTGGTTAATTGTTTGATTGATTGATTATTTTTTAGGTACAAAGTAAAAGAATTGAGAAAGTAACAGTTGGAATTAGGGAAAAATTTAATCTCGATCAAGCAATATTACAAATCATTGTTAATCAACAGGTAATTATGAACATAGATCAAGTTGACTAATTATTTGATTAAATTTACAATTAGTTTAAGTGATAGAATTAAAGAAATAAAAACTTAGAGGTTTACAGTTGGTTGAAAAATATTGGAATTAGATGAGCCTTTGGTTACGATGTGTTGTTGAATTGTTAGAGTTTGAGAAGTCATTCTGATCATAACTCTTGATCAATTGATTGAAAGTTTTTGATTTTTCCATAGATGATGATGATTAAGTTGACATGAGATTGTTGATTTCTCTGAATTTGCAGAAATCTATCCATTGAAATCCGAAAGTCACAGATAAATACACTATGAGTTAGAGATGAAGAGTCAATTTCGCGACGAAATTTTTGACTAACCAACAGCTGAATTTTAGAAGCCAAATGGACAATAAGAGTTGAATTCACTGAATTTTTCAATTCCTCAATGTTTCTTTGCAATCAGTTTCACTTGTAAATCTTATTTGGTTGATAATATAAAACAACTAAATAACGATTACAAACATTGAAACCTGAAAGATGATCACAAGCATTTTTAGCATCGAAAATGTCTTCATAAACAACAAACGCTGTTCCTTTTGTTTCCGGAGTATTACCAACTCTAATTTGTCTAATTGCTCCATATTTACCAAAGATATCATACATTTCTTCAGCTGTGATCTTGTAAGGAAGGTTCCGAACATAAATAATTCTGTTCACCTCAGGCGGAAGCCTAACCTGAAAACCAACAAAGAGAACAGAATTTAATGGAATAAATCAAGAAATGGAATAACAATTATTCAAACAGATACTTACATTAGCTTTTTTATGCATTGCCATCGCCATGGTTGATCTAATTAACCAGAAAATTGACTGAAAACTATCAAAATCAAATTGTAAACAAAAGACAAAAATTAAAAATTCTTGAGAAAAATTATCTGTTCGCTATCTGGATCTGATATCATTCGAGTTTCTATCGGATCTTCAGGCCTATTTGAACTAATCTTTTTGTGAGAATAGATGAAAACAGTTGATTGGAATTTTTTAATTCCATTTTTAATTGTTAATTGTGCTTTTTAAACTCAATCAATTTTGTTCCTTTTGTATCAATTCCATAATTTATCTCTCGCTCTTTGAGAATAAACCTGCCGAATTCTAATTGTTTGAATTCTAAGACTCTGGTTAATCATAATTCTTTCCAAAGGTAATGTCGCTTTCGTTTGAATCTTAAACGTGTGAAATGTTTGTTGTTTTTCAATTTTTAAAATTTTAATTTGCTTCAAATTAGAATTATTTTTGTATTTGATTAATTTCTTTTAATTTTATGTTATACTTTCCTATTAATCTGCCACTCAAGTTGGTCAGAATTTTAGGTAAAACTGTTGATACCTTTTATTTATATTTCTTTACCCTTTTCTTATCTTTGTTTTCATTTTTGTTTCTCTTTACAGATATTTGGTTATTGAGAGAACAGCTAATTTAGGAAAATGTCGACTTTGGATAAAATTGCCCAAATTGAGGCTGAGGTAAATCACTTGATGGAATTGAAACTATCCTTTTGTTGGTTTGTCATTTATGATTTGATTTTGCCCTTTTTCAGATGGCCCGTACTCAGCGAAACAAGGCAACCATGGGTCATTTGGGTCTCTTGAAAGCCCGACTTGCCAAATTAAGACGGGAATTGATTACCCCTAAAGGTGGTGGAGGTGCTGCTGGGGAAGGTTTTGATGTCGCAAAAACTGGTGATGCGAGAATTGGTTTTGTCGGTTTTCCTTCTGTTGGCAAATCAACATTAATCTGTAATCTTGCCGGTGTTTACTCTGAAGTTGCTGCATATGAATTTACCACTTTAACAACAGTTCCTGGTGTGATTAGATATAAAGGAGCCAAGATTCAAATGTTAGATTTACCGGGTATCATTGAAGGAGCCAAAGATGGTAAAGGTAGAGGTAGACAGGTAATCGCAGTTGCCAGAACATGTAGTTTAATTTATATTGTTCTTGATGTGCTTAAACCTTTGGTCCATAAAAGATTGATTGAGAAAGAACTGGAAGGATTTGGTATAAGATTGAATAAACAGCCTCCAAATATAACCTTTCGTAAGAAAGAAAAAGGTGGAATTGCATTACAAACACTCGTACAACAATCTGAACTTGACCTGGAAACAGTTAAAACCATTTTATCCGAATATCGAATCCATAATGCTGATGTAGTACTCAAGTCTGATGTTACTTGTGATGATTTTGTCGATGTCATTGAAGGTAATCGTGTATACATACCCTGTATTTATGTACTAAACAAGATTGATCAAATATCCGTTGAGGAATTGGATTTAATTTATAAGATACCTCACACTGTTCCCATATCAGCTCATCATAAGTGGAACTTTGATGATTTACTTGAATTAACTTGGGAATATCTGAAACTCGTTAGAATGTGCGTATTCAATAATTTAGCTAATTGTCAATATAATTAATTGTCTTTCTTTCCTTCCAAAGTTACACCAAACCCAAAGGACAACTTCCTGATTATGGATCACCTGTTATTCTGAGTGAAGATAGAACCTCAGTTGAAGACTTTTGTAATAAGCTTCACAGAACCATCATAAAAGAGTTTAAATGGTGAGTTTTAAATGGATTTAATTGCGGTTAATCTAATGATTGATTTACTAATCATCTTATTGATGCTTTTCATTACTTTAGTGCTCTTGTTTGGGGATCATCAGTGAAACATTTTCCTCAGAAAGTTGGAAAGGATCACGTTCTGAACGATGAAGATGTCGTTCAAATTGTGAAAAAGTATAAACAATTACTATTTCTATTAATAATTGTCCTTAATCACTTAATACTCATGTTGATTAAACTATTTCTTTTTTTTCAATAGGATTTAATCATGATGAATTGACATTAACCCTATTGGGAAATCAGCGGAAACAATCGGGAATATCTAATGAATTTTGAGAAATTATTTGTTATCCAATTGACAAAAAAAGATTACGATTGTTAAATTAAAAACTTTCCACTATCTTCATGATTAACTTGACAATCAAATCAATATTCACGGAAAATTATTATTTTTTACATGCAGACAATTAACTTGAGCAATTTTCCATATGATTTTTGGTTAGTATGACAATTAAACTGAATCATTTAAAATTGAAACGATTATATCAGTTCAATAAAAATATTCATTTCTTTTTTTTGTCAATACTCTAAAAACAGAAATTAACAATTAATCAATTCCTGTAGTGATAAAATTTTCCATATAACAATAAGGAATTAATTTCCAATAATAATCCAAAGTTTTAATCGATTCTGTGATTGATAATCAATCAAATTCAAAAAATTCATCTTCATTTCGTCAAAAACAATTAATCAGTTTAAATTATTTCGCTTCTCATGATAACCATGATTCTGACAAATTAAGAAGATTAAATGAAGAAACGATAAACCATTTTAATGATAATGAATTTCTCTTGAAGCTAATAATTTAATTCTCTCCATTCAGATGTAAGTAAATTTACTAATCTGAATCTCGAACTCAATGCATTTAAAACTCAATTAATTTCCAATAATTTTCTGTATTTGCATCTGATTGAAATTTTCTACTCTAATTTACCATAATTTAAATTCTCTAATTTTCCGATGCAAACAATTCTAAATATTTTCGACAATTGGATTAGCTAATTCGATGATTGTGATCAACAAAGAAGCGAAATTACCAGAGAGAAAAAAAGAAAACGATTAACGAGGTTAAAGGAGAAAGAAGAAGATGAAAAGTAGATTCATTTTCTTTTGGCATGTGATGGAAATGGTAACATCCAAATTCACCTAAAGGCCTAAAATACTTAATTGTGTTTACATTTCTCTTCCATTCTCCTTCCTAATTAGTGATTTTTTCTTTGTCTTAACTGTGTAACAATTGATAATCAAATTGTTCTCATCATCGGTTGACCATTAAATCCAAATAATTCCAAGAAATCTGTTAACAATTCTAATTGTTTTCCGATTTCTCTTGAATTCCTTTTTTCTTATTACTGTTTCTCTTTTTTTCTCTTTCTCTTTTCTCTCTCTTTCTCTGTGTTTCCTTTCATTTTTTTTTCTTATTTCCTTTCTCTTCCTTTGTTTTTCTCTTCGCCATCATCTTCATAATTATCATCATCTCCACTTTTGGTAAACATAAAAAATTCTGATTTATTAACAACCAGTTTTACCGAATTGATGACCATTCACATTCACCATTCTATTCAATCCTATGCTCATTCAAATCCTAATCATTGTCTCCATTTTCAGGAACCATTGATTTTATATTAATCTTCCATTTCTAATTGGATGCTGATGAAATTGTAAGTTTAATTGGATAATTTTATCTCAACAGTTTTTATTCAATTTCTATTCTTTTTTTTGCTAATTTTCTCTTTTCTTCTTTTCTTTCTTCCCTCTCTTTCTTTGTTTTCTAGGAAAGAAAAAGCCGCATTACCAAAGTGCAAATAGACTCTCAATTCTAAACAAGCTTCAAATTTTTCTCCATTGTGATTCTCAGATTCATTTCAATTCTCAGTTACCCTTGTATCTTTTTGGTGATAATTTGGACATCACCATGAATTGACATTTGATTGAAATCGTTTTTGAAAAAGTTAAAAATCGCCCGATTGGCTTGGTAAGTATTAGAAGGCCGGCCCATTAGAAGGACATGATTATAAGCATGTGATTAATTTGGAGATAAAACTCTTGCTTACATATTTAAACGCTAATCTTTTCGATCTTGCTTTTTGTTCAATTTCTTTTTAATTAATTGTTATTCTAATTGTTCTTTCTCATCTTCTTCCCTTCATCTCAGATATCACAATTATTTATCTAACCTTTAATCGGTTCTCAATCACAACATCATCTTCTGACTCTGGTATCCAAAGGAAAGAACTAGTACTTATTAGTCATCCGAAGCCTTTATTCTTTATTCCATCTTCCATTGTTATTAATTAATCTCCACAATTATATGAATCGTCTTATCAATCGTTTCAATGTTTTCTTAAGAAACAAAAAACAACATTCTTGCCCTGTTGTTTTGTTAACTTTACCAAATTAACTGAAACCTTCTCGAAAGAAACTATATTTCAAACGGATTGGTTGTTTGTTCTGTTTTTTATTGGAGCCAAATAGTTATGTCTAAATTGAATTCTTTATCTATTTATTTGTGGAACAAGTTAACGTAGTTTATAGATAAAGAAAAGTGCTTTTAAATCATGGCCCAAGCTCAACTTAATCAAAGAAGATCACGACCCATTCCATCTTCCATTAGGAATAGAAATTTGAAAAATGATAAAACCATTTTACCCAATTTGGAGTCCATACAACCTTACACACCCTCTCTCAATGTACCAGAATTTGATCATGAAGGACGACAGGTAAAAAGGTATCCATGTGATGCTTGTGGTGATTGTTTTCTATTCAAAGCATCTCTAAATCAACACATAAATCGACATTCGGTAAAATTAACGTGCTTTTTGAATGACTCAGGTAAATGCGTTTACGTTTGTAACTCTTGAAATTCCTACATTGTCCATCTCTTGACCTCTACCTTATTTACCTATAACTTGTTCATTGTTCTGATCTAATATTTTTATTTTTTCTTATTCTTTTTTTTTCTCACTCCTCAGGATCCAAGAAGTTAAATTTTTACAACAAATGTGCCCAATATCATTATTTCAAAAGCCATAACACAGTTTGTAAGAGCACCTTGTTATCTCCTTTGTTGACCGACGAGAAGGAAACATTTATTGATAATGTGTCATCTTATCATGAGAAAGAGGAAACTGGCAAGGAATTGAATCGCTCTAAAAGTCCAAAGGTAGTCATCAAGATAAAGAAGAAGACATCTGAAAATCCGTCCAATACAAATTCGATCTCTTCGAAAAACAATTCTACCACCACAACAACAACAACCAAATGTAACATCAAACACACCGTAGGCTCGGAAAATTGCTCCAACTCCAAACTCAAGAACAAAATAATCTCCGACAATGAAACAAGTTCAGAGGCAAACGAAAAGAAAGAGTCAAAATGCCTTGAATGCGACAAAATTTTCTCACATTTAACATCTCAAAAGGAACATTTTAACTCATTAGACAATGACCATGGTCCATTCCAGTGTACAACGTGTCCCATTTGGTGTCCAAATTTATGTTCCCTTAAAGCTCATAAAAGGTTTCACACAATGGATTCTCCCTTTGTTTGTCCAGAATGTGGTTATCAAAGTGAGAAATTTAAAAAGATGATGACTCATTGTATCATAAAATGTCAACATCTCCTGCGGCAATTGTTGTACATTTGTTCAAAATGTAAAATCACCTTTAACACAATCTCAAGTCTAATTGAACATATAACATCAAGTCACACGCAACAATTGATTCGATGTGCTACCTGTAATCAAAATTTTGACTCAATCGATAAATTTGAGAGACACAAGGTTAATCATCCATCAGAAGATGGATATCGAAGTGACAATTTCTACCAGTGTCATATTTGTTCAAAAGAATTGTTGTCCAAAATATTATGCTATTCTCACATTGAGTCTCACCTTAAAGAGACCAAAGATATGTATAAGTTTGTATACATATGCCCACAGTGTAAAGAAAGACAATGTGACTCTGGTTCACAGGTATTGGTACACCTTCAAGCGGCTCACCTTCTTGACCTTACCAAACCCGATCGAGAGGCAAGTCTAGTTGAGAGTCTATGTGATCGTTACAAAATAAAACTTTCAAAGGTACCAAAAGAGGCCGAGAAAGGATCTAATGCCAAAAAAAGTTCTGCAACTTCATCATCATCAACAACAACAACAAAATCATCAATGTCAACCACCTCATCGACCTCATTAACTTCCAATAATCCTTTAAACGATTCGAGTCTTAAAGCGACCAAATTTGCTTGCGAGGTTTGCGGTTTAATCACCAATAGTTGGGATGATATGGCCGATCATGGAAGCAGTAAACACATCGACGAAGAGTCTCTATTTGTTTGTCTAATTTGTTCTAATAAGAAATTTACTCGACGAAATTCACTTCTTGCTCATTTGAGAAAATTTCATACAACCTCATTGGCCTGTCCTTCTCAGCGTTGTATCTCTTTACGTTTTAAAAATGCGACAGATATTTACAATCACTACCGAATGAAACATCGTTTAGATTGTGGTGACCTTAAAGAACCAATTAGCAAACAATCAGACCATCAAACGGGAAATGCTAATAACAACAATAATAATGGTGATCCAACTCCTGCCAAGCGACCAAAAACCAATCAGAATAACAATAAGCAAAATAATCACAAAAATTCAGTAAACAACAAAACAAACACCGGATCATCTTTGGCAAGTAATTACAACAACAACACGTCAATTAACAATTTATCCTCATCATTATTATATTCAGAAGAAAATGGATCTTCAGACATTTTAAAAGATTCTCTTCTCAATGGATCATCATATGTTAATCAATGTATCCATTGTGGCTTCCAATCGGATGGAATTAAACAATTACAAGCTCATTATACAATCCACCGAACCCCAAAATCACCTTACCTTTGTTACGAGTGTGGTACCAGTTTTGTTACCTGTTCACTGTTAGATCGTCATTTAAACAATCTTCATGGTATCACTGATTGTCAAAGTTATGTTAAAATTAATCTACCCGATCTCTATCAAGAAAAAGTTGACCCCAATAATATTGATCTAATTGGAATCATTCAAAATGATACACTAAATGAATCAATGTGCCCAGTATGTTCAAAAATATGTTCCGATTCAGCAGCTCTTAAATCACACGTTAAAGTCCATGGGATGGCTTTCATTAACTCAATTCGTAAAAATTTAAACACATCGACAACCAATGATGTAGCCTAACGATCATCATAACAATCACAACATTTATCTAAATAAAAAAGAAAATCATTCTCTTCCTCTTATAAATACCGAACAATTAAAAACAATCAACTTCCACCATCATCATCATTTAATTGCCAATTGAATCTTGGAAATAAATTAGATAACCAACTAGATGGCGCTTCGAATAATAAATAAATTCTTAGCTTTAGATTATTTATTTTTAACTTGATTCATATTATCACATTTATCTTTAAATAGATCGTTTCAATTAGACTTTTTTATTTTCTTATTCTTTCTCAGTTGTACAATTTACTCAACATTTTCTTATTAATTGTGTTCATCAAAATTTTGTTTTCTCATTTTAATGAACATTTTCTGTCCGGTGTGTTGATTGTCTTCGTGTTTGTTAATCACAATGATGAATGAAACAACTCTTATCGACGATTTTGAGTCTCTTCGTATTAAATTACAACAACGATTTGAGCCTTCACCTTCCATCGGTTATCAGGTCGATTGGTGTACTTTCCCCACTTATGTTACTCGCTTTTTTGCCGCTCTCAAGCTTTTTCATGGTAACAGCGATTCTTATGACCTACTGTTCAAGCAAATTGACTCAAGCTCATCAAACCGTGAGAGAGTTGATATTATTTTGAAAAATGATGTGATACGAAACTTGATGAAAGCGTCGGTCGATAAAGTGGTCGAGTATATTGACCAGAATTCAACTGTGAATCCTAAAAGTCTTGAAAAATCGCGAGAATTTATGAAATTAGGATCTGATCTATTGCAGAAAAACAAAGTCAAAGAAGCTTTTGAAGCCTTTCACAAAGTAAGTAGAGAAAAGAAAATTATACTTTTGACAAAATGATCGAGATAATTGTTCACAATCAAAGTGATTTGTTTGATTTTCATTGGAAATTTGCTCACCATTAACTTAGTAAATTGATTTGTTCATTTCGCCCTCAATGTTCAGGGTGTCTGTGTCTCTCCATTTCCTTGTGATGCCAAAGATGACGACAAAAATGGTCCACTTTCATCAAATTTGGCTCTTTGCCTGGTGAAGCGAAGTCGTTGTTACCGATCAATAAAAAAGTATCCCGAGAGTTGGTGTGATCTTAAAGACGCGATTGCCAATATGCACGATCCCCGTTTAAGTGAACAATTGATTAAATCGAAAAGAGAATTGCTGATTGAAATAACCTCTGATGGATCATCTGAACCTGAAGACAATAAAGAATTAGCTGATTTAGATTTCTCTCCAATGGATGTTTGGATTAAACCAGAGAATCGCAATCTACATTCAGCTAGTGAAAGCTTGGAGATCGCTTGGTCGGCAGAAAAAGGAAGACACATTATCGCCAGTCGACCGATCAGTTCAAGTACCAACATAATCGCCGAAAAACCTTACTCATCGTGGCTTCAACCTGCGAATTATTCTTCCTACTGTTTCCAGTGCTTGAGACCTTTAGATAATCGGTGTTTCCCTTGTCGTCAATGTACTTTAGTCTCTTATTGTTCGTCTGAATGTTCACAGATCAGTTGGAATACGTACCATTCCATTGAATGCAAATACATGCCGATTCTTAAATATCTTTCAATGGGACATTTAGCCTTGCGAACTCTTCTAACCGCTGGAATCGATACTGCCCTCGAAATACACTCTAAACCAATTCCACCGATGCAATCGCAGAAAAGGTTGACCAACACCTTCAAGGACATTCACACGCTCATGGATTCGATTGAATTCTTGGACGTAGTAAAGAAAACCTCATTTGCGACCTGTGCCGTTTACATGGCATTGTTAACCAGATCAATGGGCTTGATTAGCGAGGATAAAGTGGACACGATGGCCGATCTTTTCCTCAGAACAATAAATCAAATTGTACTCAATGGATTCGCAATCTATGATGATCGAGCTGAAGATGTCGAACCCGCTTTCAGTTTCAGTTACTTGTGTACCGCAGGGGGTAAAAAGATCGGTATTGGCCTTTACGCGACCACATCGCTTTTAAGTCATTCATGTGATGCAAATAACGATCGTATCTTCATCGGCTCTAAATTGGTGATCACCACCCGAAAGACCATTCAGAAAGGCAAAGAAGTGACCATTTGTTATGGACCATCAAAAATTGAACCTTTCAAGAGTCGACAAGAAAATATCAAGGAAAATTATTACTTTGAATGTCAATGTGATTATTGTAAAACCAAGAAATGATCAACTAATCATCTCAATCTCTCCATTAATTTTAACCACAACAATCAACCAAATGCCTTTTACATCAAGTTCACTTGATAAATTACCAGAAATATGTTGAGAAAACTAATTGTTTTTAAGAAGCTAATCATATTATCCCTGATTAATTTTAATCAAAGTTAACCGAAAATTGTTTATCATTATCACTGATCATTTTTACACATTAATCTCAACTCTAAAATGTCTTAACAATTAAATAAATTGGTAAAATAAACATTAACCGATTTAATTGCGCCGATTGGGCAAATAACAAGAAAACCAATTTTAAATTATCCTTGGCAATTAAAAAGTTAAGGATTATAATGAATCCAATTACAATTTACCTCTTCAATTAACTAGTTCCCAGGAATCGGTTTCATCTAATTGCAGCCAATCAATACTGTAAGACTGTAAGAAAACAGTAATCAAGATGGTTGATTGTTATCAAACTAATTCAATCTAAATTAGAAACCACCAAATTGCGATATTAGTTAATCAAAGTAAATCCAATTAGCGTTTAAATTTACTAAATCATAAGAAATTTCATTAAGTCAGTGGATTGTTAACCATTTAAATCCAATTGAAGATGAACAATTAATCATAATGAAAGATTTTAAAAGGTTACAAGTTGATTCACTTTAAATTGTTCTGAATTTAGATTACTAATTATTCTCAATGGAATCAAATTTATGCGAAAATTTCTCATTTTTGTTGAAAGTTTTTCTTCAATCACATAAGTGGCTCTTTCTTTTTTCTGGTTCTTTCTTTTTAAATATTTTCTATTTGAGAATATGTTGGACAAAGAAAACAATTCTAATCTCTTTTCAATATTCGCCTGAATTTCATCGAGAATTTCATGATAATCTGAGTAATCGTATTTTCTGAATAGATGGCCAATACAACGCAATGTGTTGCAATCAAATTAATTCTAAAAGTAAGTTGATTAATTGAGTTTCAATTCGATTTCAACAAATTTCTTTCTTTTGTTTACATTTTTTTTTCTTCTTTTTCTATTTACTCTTTCATAATGTATTCTTTTTTTTTCTTAATGTTTATTTCTCTGTTGTTAATTGTTGTTGTTTTTTTCTATAGAATTTAAACCAGTTTGATTATGGATTATAATTAAATCACCAATATTCAATCGGTGGTAAGTTAATCAGTGCCTTTTACTGTCCATCTCTGAATTACTCATTCTAACTCATTTGTTTCTCAATAACCGAAAGGTTTACAGTTTGATTGTTGTGTTAAATGGCAAAATATTGACATGAATTCACATCTAAATGTAATTGGTTATCAATTAATTGCAACAATTTAAACAATCTAACAAAGATCACGATGTGAATACAGGATGAGAATAATTCTGATTAGTATCCCTTTTGTGTTCCCTCCATTTAAAGATGAGTCAAGAGACAAATTGTATTGACCAATCAGTTTGTTAATTTACAAACGTTTTAATTTTCATCGAAACAAAGAGTTAAATCATCCATTTTTGTGCCTCCATTTTGTATTTCTCTAAATTATCCCTGAAACATTGTTCTATTATTACAACTCTTAATTAACTCAACCAATGTTATTAATTTGATGATCAATCTTGTTTTCTTCTCGTTTATAGATTTTCTAATATTCCATTACAATTAATCAGTGAATAATTATCACCATGTCTTCAAATTTTCGAGTGAGGCCATTTGTTGAAGAGATTTCAACCCTGAGAAGTGTCATGAGAACCATGTTGATGAAAACACTACAAATGGGAGACCATTTTGTCAAGTGTCACGTTGAATGGCATTTATTTACTAGTTGGATGGAAAATGCTTTTACTAATGTCATGCGAACTCTTGACCGGAAAGAGTCTGACCTTTATTTTCAAAAATTTAATCCAGGTCTTAATGTTGACCAAGTGGTTGGACTTATCATTAAGAATGAAATGCTTGAGAAAACAATTAATCGTATGGTATCACAAGCATTGGAAAGCACTGACCTTGGGAAGCATCTTAAAGATTTGGGACGATCACGAATTTATTTGACTAAATCATTACAAGAATCTCAAAAAAACAATTTAACCGCAGCCTTGGACCATATCAATAAAGTAAGAAATTGATTGTTAACAATTTATTATATCTTTCGTTATGATTTGGCCTTAGTGTGGTTTAAATTGATCAGCAAATGAGAGCCATTCTGTTGTATCTTGAGTTTGATTGTTTCAACTTGCTCCAGAGTTTTTTTCCCAACAATTATGCCCATTTCTAGTAAAGTGTAATCTAGTTAAGGCCAATTAATTAGTTGACTATTGGTATTAATTAGCTTGAGGGCTTAATTTGCAAGTTTGCCGCTAATTTAAGCCACACCATTGTATTCGTAACTAGGATCTTACCCGTTTTTTAATTGATTATTTAGGCCATTTTATTGGCTCCATTTCCAGCTGAAGGTGTTGACCATCAAAGTAAATCCCAGTTAGCGTTTTGTTTTATGACTCGAGCGCGTTTACTTAGAAAATTAGGCCATTACCAGGGTTGTGAACTCGATCTAGCTGAAGCTTTACAACATCCCGTTGAGAACAATGGTAAAGTTAGTTATCTTGAGAAAATTGCCGAAGAAATTGCCAGTTTGACCGCTGTTGGTGCCAGTTACGCTCCTCCTAATAGCGCTCTCAATGTCGTCAGAAAATTTTTCAACGTAGACGCGGTTAACGATCGCGTCCATGGAGCTGCTCAACATATTTATCTCAGTTACAATGAAGTTGTGGGTCGAACTTTGATCACCAAAAAGGAAGTCAAACCTCAAATGACCATCATTGCAGAGGAACCTTTTTGCGCTTGGTTAGCGCCTTTTCATTATAACAAATATTGTTCCTTTTGTTTGAGTCCACTTGAACAGCACTTTTTCCCGTGTCGAAAATGTAGCCTTGTTCGTTACTGTTCATCTAATTGTGAAGAAGAATGTTGGAAATCTTACCATTCAATCGAATGTAAATTCATGCCCATTCTTCGTAATTTGGGTGCAGGTCATTTTGCACTTCGATGTATAATCACCGCTGGAGTCGATAAAAGTTTGGCCACATTAAGAGCCTCGTTAAGCAGCACTGAGAATCAAAATAAGACTAAACCTTGCAAGTAAGATCTCTAAATCCATCAATCAATCTGAAGAGTATTGAAAATAAACTACTTACAATTATCTTTAGTTGAAAAATAATCGAAACTTTGAATTGAATCAATTCGACAATTAATCTTAATGTTAATTTATCTTTTCCACAGATCATTTCAAAACGATTATCGTGATATTTTCACTCTTATGGCGAGAGACAATGAAGCAGCGGTGATGCCCAAGATGGCGTTTTTGTCCACATTTCTCGCTTATTTGGGTAAATCGATGGATTTGATTGGTGAAAGTTCAATTCATCATTTGGCTGCTCTAATTTATCGACAACTTGGAATCGGTTATTTAAATTCATTCTTCATTTCTGATCATGGATTCAGTCAAGTAGAAAGAGGTGAAACAATTGACATAAGAGAGATCGGCATGGGTCTTTATGCCAGTGCTTCATTATTGAGTCATGCTTGTGATCCTAATTGTGATAAACTGTTCGTTAGTAACAAGATTCTAATTGTCGCCAAACGCGCTCTAAAAGAAGGTGAAGAGATCACTATTTCCTATGGACCATTAAAAGAAGTCCATCCGTACGCAAAGAGACAAGAAATGTTGGAAACAACTCATTCATTTAAATGCGTTTGTGATCCTTGTTCCAAACGCGAGTGATTTATTTTAATTGTTATATTTACTTCATTACCTCTTTTTGCTAATCACAATCAACTTAATTATCTTCCTTTTGACATATAAAACATGATACATTTCCAAATCATGTCCGACAAAACAAATGACAACTAAATTAAAACGGGTTATTTTCGTATTCATATTAAAAGATTGACTAAAGTTGCTAAATCAATTTTACTCATTTCCTATTATTATTTCGGGAATATAATTGGTCTAATTCATTGATTCATGTTTACGATTTAGTGATTTACTTTTTTGTTTTGGTCATTTCGTTGGTAATTTAATTGTTAATCGAGATGTGTGATCGGAATACTTTGGACGTGAAGAATAAATAAAAACCGGAAGTGGGCACATTAAAGAGGGTGAGAGAGAGAGAGAAGAGGAAGAAGACAAAAGTGTTGACATAAATTTGAGAGACAAATTTAGGGACAAAGATGATGGTCAATATTTTTTGGTCTTTGTGAGTTCTAAACTTTTTTCTTCCGTCCACTGGAACTCTTTAAATTGACAATTTAATTCATTTAACTAAATCAATTAGAATTTGAAAATTATTTTCTAAAGTTTTCCATCATTTTCATCTTCATCACTATCATATTCGGCAAGGAAATTATCTTTGTCGTCTTTATCCTTCTTATGGGTTGACTCGAAGTTGACCTGACGATCGGTGATATTCTTGTAAATTGCCATCGATTGTGCTACTAAACTACCAACATTTCCAGTATCAGCGGGTAGAATTAAAGTATTGTTCTTTTTAGCTAATTCGGAAAATGCTTTGACATATTGTTCGGCGACGAGTAAAGAAGCAGCATTAGCACCTTTGTTTACGAGCGCTTTGCTTATCCTTTCTAACGCTAACCCTTTAGCCGAGGCAACAGCTTGAATGGCAGCCGCTTCTCCTTGAGCATTGTTGATCTGCTCAATTCGTTGAGCTTCTGATGCTAAAATTTTGGCTTGTTTTTCACCTTCAGCTACATTAATCTCTGCTTCTCGACGACCTTCCGATTCCAAAACAACAGCACGTTTCCTCCTCTCCGCTTCAACCTGCATTTGCATCGCCTCTTGAACTCTTTCCGGTAATTTAATATCACGAATCTCATAACGAAGGCATGTAATTCCCCAGGCAAGTCCAGCTTTGTTAATGGCCTCAACTATGGCAATATTTAAGGTTTCCCTTTCCTTGAAAACAGTGTCCAAAGTAATTTTACCAATTTCCGATCTCATTGTTGTCTGGGCAAGTTGGGTGATCGCAAATTCTGGATCCTCGACACCATAAGATGCTTTATATGGATCGATAACTCGTAAATAAAGGACACCATCAATAGCCAAAGTAACATTGTCCGATGTAACAGCTGATTGTTTAGGTATATCAATTGCAATTTCCTTTAAACTTTGAACATATTTAACCCTATCAATGACAGGGATTAAAAAATTTAAACCTGGTTCACAAATTTGATAAAATTTACCCATTCTCTCAACAACCCAGGCTTCCTGTTGAGGGACAAAGATGACAACAGTATTCATGGGTAAACTTGACCTGTATCGAGCTCCATGGTGAATTAACGGAAAAACTGACCGTAGACGAACCAAACTCCGAGGAATAGAAAACATCACGTCAATAACAATACAATAATAGAAGAGAGAAAAAAAAGATGACCAAGTAAAAGAATCCAATTAAAGAAGAACAGCCCAAAGAACAAAGAGATCACCGAATACTAGAGAACAGTTGACCAAAGGACAAGATAGAATAGAAAACAGTTTCAAAAATCAAACACAATTAATCAACAATTAAGATGAGAAACAAAAAGTTAATCAACTTTACATTAACGGTGAAAATCAAGAGTCACATGGAAACACAGCTGAGGGTTGCCAATGGTAACCGAGAATCCAATTAACCGGTAAGGTTGAAATTCACTTGAATTTAAAAGAATCACAATTTAATTTAATCTGTTATAAGAACCAATTAACTGAATGTGTTAAATAAAAATTAGATCATCAATGGATCAAATTTTCAACAATCTTTCAATCAGTTAACCTTTTTAAACAGAAAATGTTTAATTAGAATGACGATCAATATGTAAAAGTGTAAACATGTTAAGTAACAATTGTGATTGTGATTAATTGTGTGAATGTCTTTCAATTTCAACAGGATAAATTGTTCACCCAAATGATTATCTTATTAATATCGATTCGATTAACTGGTTTACTATTCTATTATGTGGTCAATAGTTTTGGTTTCAATGGTTTCGTTTCTCATTTTCTTAGGCCTAATATCATGTCTATAGATTTTCCCGTTGGCCTGATTGGTGGTTGGTGTCGGGTTTTTGATTATACGTCGTTGTTTGTGTCCACTCTGTGATCTTCTGGAATCAATGGTAAATTTCAACGTAATTGGATGGAAACATGTATCAGGTATCATAGGACAAGGCGCAGGTACATAACCCATGATAACAGATTGTTGATCGAGAGCGCAGGTTACTACGAAAAAATCAAAATCGATCCAACTTGTGGCCTGGTCTTTACACATTCTTCACATACACACTCTCCTGAATTCTTGTTCATCTTCCTCTATCTATCTCTGTGTATATTGTTCATCTAATAACAAGTATAAACAAGGGAAAAAGTGAACATCATCCTCTTAGAATCGAGAGAGAGAGAGAAGGCAAAAGAAAGTAAAAGAGGAGAAAAAGATTTTTCGACGAAAAACTCGAACAGAAAAGAATAAGATTTTTTTTCTTCTTCTTCTTCTCCATTATTAACGTTAAGATCTTCTTCTTTTCCATCTTAAACCAAGAGAAAAACAAAAGGCAGAGGAGGAAAAAAATTCTGCAAAACTGTAACATCATCTCCATCATCTCCATCATAATCATCTGCAGAAATATCATCAACATTTATCTGTCTATTCCATCATCATCTTCTTGCGTCAAATTTTGTTTCTCATCGAAAGAATTATCCAACTCATCTTATATTAATTCTTCCAAAATTCGTCACATTATTTCATCATCATTATTCTTATTCTCATCTACTTAAGTGTTCACCCAACATCTCAAATCTCCTCTACGATAATTACTCTGTGCTCTTCCAAATAAACTTGTATCATCAATCTCAACACTGGACATCACAATCTGCCGGACGAAGCAACTTAACAACCCAAGTAACGATATTAACATAAATTAACAATCAAATTGACCAGATTGTTATCCGATTTTGTGTCTTTCCAAGTTCATCACAATCAACAACATTAACCAGTGACAAAAATCAACAACATCATCATCATCATGAGTAAAATTGTTGATCTAAATGTTGGTGGAGTTTATTATTCAACATCACTGGAAACACTTCAACGTGAACCAGAATCACTATTTACCAAATTGTTTACCGTTTCAGAGTCTTCCAAGTTGATTAAGGATTCCCAGGTAAGAAGCAAAATCCAAACAATTAGCAAACAACATTAATTTAATTGTTTCAACGACATAACAATATTAACCCTTTTTTTTCTGGTAACATTATTTTTCTCAAACATGAAATCACTTTACTTTCAAAATCCATTAACTAATCATTAGCAAACAAACAATTTACCTCAAATCGTTCAATAAGATGACCTTTACAATGAAAATTATATTCTGAGATGAACAAACAATCAGCAACAATCAACGTAAAACATATTATCATGATTTACTTATATGGAACAGATAAAACAACATTCTCATGGTTTACCGATCATCATCAATGAACATCTCAGGTAGCAAAGTAGAAAAGTGATTAACAGAGATGATTAATTATCTCTGTAAGAATCTATTATTAAGATGGATGAAAGTGTTGTTTCATTTTCCATTTGAGAAAAACTTATTTCCCTTCAGCTGTTCAGGCTAATCAATCTCTCATTGATTCAGGTGAAAGTAAAAGATAACTTGATGATTATTTGCCTCGAAGGTAAAGCTAATCACAAAGACTTTTACTTTCTCTTTGATAAACATTAACTAACATGGAGGAAGATGAAACCTCAGAGGTAGTGAATGAGCGAGAGAGAGAGAGAGAGAGAGAGAGAGAGTAAAGTTTGTAACTTCTTTTTTTTCTCTACGATAATTTATCTTCTAATCAATCAATATCAACCTGACAATGAATTCTCAGGTAATGTTCCCATCGATTCCATTTATGCAAATTACTTCCTCTGTAAAAATTTTCTATTCAAAGTCAACCATGAAAATGGCTTTTTCACCTTTTCCATGAGTAAACTTTTCTATTGATTGTTCAGGCAACAACAATCAAGATGAAGGTTAATTTAGTCTATTAATCTGCATCTACAATTTATCCTTTTAAATAATTTATCATGTTGATTGTGTGTAATTTGGTTTAACTTTTACAATACAATTTATTTTAATTGTATGTTATCAATTTTCCACTATTTCAGAGTAAAAAAAACAACGTTTCTCTCAAAACAATTAGGTTAACTGATATTCCTTGATTGTAAAAGTTTACCTGAGAAGAAGCAAAAAAGTTGATCCAATTCAGTTGATTTCATCTATTACTTCAAATCCTATTATGTTTTTTTTTTCTGTATTATTTGTCACAATCAACAAATTACTGTTAACTTACCTTTATTACAACAATCAACTAATTGATGAAATTGATTTGTAGTTTAATTCAATTTTTGTTCAACAAAGAAAAAGCTACTCAGTCGATTGTGTATTGAAATGGATGAATGTTCACCATGAAAACTTATCATGTTTTTCAATGAAACATCTTTAAAACTAATGAAAATCCTCCGATCCAATTGATTTTCATCTTCATCTCCCCTGGAAGATAATTTCATTTACTCTCTATTTATCATCTTCTCTCTTCCTTTATATCATCTTGATTGGTTTCTTCTCACTTCTCACTTTTCTCTGGTCTCTCTAAAATCATGTTAACTCTTTCTTTCCACTTCACTCATCTAATCAATCCCAACAATCAATTTAAATCCGGTTACAAAATTTGCATTGAACTTAAATTCACACCAACATTTTGACAATCAAATTAAAACCATAATAAATAATCCAGTTGATGATTATCTATGTTTTCCTCTAATAGTGAAGCCAGAAAAATATGATAACTTGTTTCTCAAACTTTTCTCATCACTCTTAAGATTAAATTAACTCAATTAAAATCTCCATGATGATATTTATCTTAATTATGAGAAAAATCTTGATCATTGGTAAAAAAAGTTCTATACAATTAATGATAACTTAATTATCCAGTTCATTTACAGTAATGAGAATTCATCTGATGAATGTTTATCTAGACGAATCTTTTCAATTGGACTGATTAATTTTCAGCTTATTGAGTTAATTCAGTTTCCAATTTTGATTCATTGTGTCCATTTTCATATATAAATAGACTTTATTTGCGATAAAAATCAATAAAGTCTCATTATAATGAACTGAATTAACATATTCGAGGAATAACTTTATCGAAAAGTCTGAAATACTTTAAATTTTGATCTAAAATCTCAATAAGATGAAATTGACTATATAAATATTTTCTCTTCTCTTTAATCACTTTCATCATTATGGAACCTGATTTCTTTCATGATTATAATTACGATGGTGATTATGTTAATTTCGTATTCTGATGAATTAGTGGTTAACTTGAATAAGAACGTGATATCTACTCCATCTTGATTTTCTCTAAATTTAATCATCCTCATCACCATCTCTTCGAAGCCTCATTCTTACATCAGCATACTCATTTGAAATGAATTGTTCAACAGTATTTTTTGCAGAGAGAGAGAATCATCCTCATCTTCAGATATTATCGAAAAAGTTGCATACACAAAAGAGCATCTCTTTTCTTGATTTACTTTCTCTCATTACCTAGGAAATGATGTTGACCATCACTTTCCTCTGGTCATCAGTATTAACCCAAGTAAAAGTGAGAATTGAAGCAATTGGATCATCTCTTTTTCCATTTGGATTTCCTTTTCCTTTCAACCATTTTCTGTATTAATTTTCCATACAAAAACCACAATACAATTTAACAATCATCACTATAACCATGATGATGATTATCTTGCATTGTTATGATTTATCCTCAATTCCTTATTATTAGTATTTTAATAGGTACAATCTTACCTTTTTCCTTAATACAATTTACCCAAACTCCTTGACCTTTCATCTTGTTTACTTTGCCTACCTGATTCCAACATTTCTTATATTACCTGATATAATAATATCTCCCTCCCTGTCTAGATTTTTTGATAATCATTCCTATTTCATGTTATGTCATCTTTGTCTCTCTCTCATCATCATCATCATTATCATCATCAAGTCACTAACAAAAGACTCATCTATCCCATTGGAATGTAATTATCATGAATTATTTAAACAGAATTCATATATTATGAATCCATACAATAAACTAAACATAATCATCATCATCTTTTACCAACTAATCAACGTTTATCTAATCAATGACATTGACAATCGTCAGTGACATTTAAAGGATAACCTAAAAGAGACCATCAATAATTATACTCTACTATTATGATAGTAACTCGATAACTTTAACTGTTCATGTTAACATTTAACCCGAACTATTAATATTATTTTCCATTCTAATAGTTTATAATACATATAATTTACCGTTATCATCCTCATGGTCATCAGATTTAATCAATTTGAATAAAGTTTTCTGTTTTAAACTTTAATCCTCATCATTGTAATTAATAATATCTACTTTTTTATTATTTAATATTTGTTTCAATTCAATTGACTGAACAAAATTATGAATAATTTTAAATGATATTATTGATATTTCCTGGTATTTTTCATATAAATCTCATTGTCATAAATGTTTCTATTGTTATCATGATAATTTCCCATGTTCCCTCATGAACTTTTACAAAAATCATGATAATGAATGAAAAAAAAATGATGATCGTCAATCATAAGTATTTTCAATTATTGATGGTCATTCATTTCTCTGGACACAAGCATAAAAAAAATTGGTAACCTTTTATTTTGATGATAAGGTATCATGAAATATTACATTACATGATAATAAATGATTCCTGATCCAATTTCAGATCTTCCATGAACGCTGAATGTTGTATTATTGCTCCGAGCTGACAATTTTTTCTGCCTTCATCATCAACATGAGATAGTAAATGTATTAATATAAAGGTTATTGGAAATACACAAATTCCAACCCTGAAAATCACTTGATGAATATATTTGAAATCCTCAGGGATTGAATTCGTTTTTAATTATATTCATCAAGAATCAGCATGATTAATAAAAGACTATCTGATCATGAAAGTTACAATTATTGCGAGATTATTATTATCATCAATATATTAGTTTTATAACTCAACTGGAACCCAATTTATCAAATGATTCCTTTAGTTTTGACCATTTTTCAATTAGCAATTAAATCGCAGACTCTTAACCATCAAACGGATTTAGTATCATGATATATGAACTTTTTCCTCATGATTGGGTTTCAGTAATATGATAATATTCTTGAAGGTTGTTTAAATTTTCTTGAGCCAATTTTTATCTCCATCTTGATAATCTGATCTCTTCTCTTACTCATCATCATGATGATGAGTAAAAATTTCCTGTTTATCGTTAAGATGCTGATGTCGTTTACAGAGAATGAGAGAGAGAGAGAGAGAGAGAGAGAGAGAGAGAGAGAGAGAGAGAGAGAGAGACGAAATCACCGTTATTTCTAGTCAACAGGGAGTGATGAAAAGTGATAAGAAAAATGTTATTTTCTTGTTATAATGAAACTTTCATCATGATTATCATCATTATCTTCATCATCCTCATCCCAAAATACTGTTTACTTTTCTACTCTCATGTGACAATGAACAAATCGTTATATTTATCCATCATCAGTGTATTTTCATTTCTTGCTCATCTCTGTCTCTCTTATCATCTTAATCGGTATCATCAACTTATCATTTTGCTGATAAATTATGAAAATAATTTCCAATCAATAATCAATAATCATTATCATCATTCAATTTAACCTGAAACTTTTGAAACCTTGATGATTTGTTTATTTAGGTTACTGTTTTTGTTTACAAACGATCAGTAGGAAAATACAGATCGTTTAATATTCACACAGTGAATTGAATCAGTGTTAATGATGATCATTGATTTAAATAATCATCAAATTAACAGTGTTGTTGATCATGTTTACCATTGATGTTTAATATACAGTGTTAATCAGTTTTCTCCCTGATTACAATCAAGTCTCAAACCTTTAGTCCTTAACCATTAACTAGACTCAGTTCATGGTTCGTTTAATTTGTATAGCAAACAATTAATTGTTACTAATATAATCTATTATTTAAGATTTCGGGTGGAAAAATAAATTGTTGCGTGACTTAAATAACTAACTTATCCCAAAGTCGAGGATAAAGTCTGAAATT